AGGCAGATCAGATTCTATGTTGCCCATGATCTACATATGGCCCTGGAAAACAATGTCCGAAAAGCAAATCTGGTAAAGCCAACTTTGAATGGTCCAGAGCTCAAAAAGTACAGACCATATCACATCTTCAAGGACCCAGTCTCTATCATATATCTCAATCACGAGGAACAGAAAAGACTCATGTGGGTAGAAGACATTCACAAATACTGTGATGGGACTCTGAAGATCATTCAGACCAAGCTACAAGAGATCAAAGAAAATATAGATCCAAGACTTGCGGACGCCAGCGAGGAAGAGCTCCAAGTATACGAGAAGGTGTGGACCATCCTAAAGCCCATCAACGAGCAACTTGAAAAGAGAAGAATGCTAAGACAGTATGAGCATGCGCTAAATTTCAGAAAGCATTACTTCAGATCTCAAAAATAAATGCAAGACGGCACTTGATCACAAAGGGGGAGATTGTTGAAGACTATTTATTGTGAATCAAGTTTGTCTGTCTTGTCTGTAATAAGTTAGATGTTTGCTATTTCTATTCTGTACTGATTAAATATATCTGTTAGAATAGTATATAATATGGGCCAAGTGTTAGGCCCATACTCAGGCAAGAAGCCTTTGTACGCATACCTGAGCCTCGCCTATAAAAGAGGGAGGAGGACTCAGGTTTGCGGTTAACTTTCGTATCTGCTCAAAATAACCTTAGCGCTTATCATTCTTGTACGAAAGATTCACGGTATATCAGAGAAGGTTTACACTTGATCTTTCTGTGTTCATCTTTGTTGTTAATCTTTCATCTGTATGCCATATTATACTGTTGTTATAGAAAACAGGGACTAACACTTTCTCTCTCATAAGTAGTCTTCTAAGTATAAGATAAGTCGATAAACAATTGTGCGAAAGAACTCTCTCTCATATGTAGTGCTTTTAGGCAATTGTTATATCGTATGACCGGTATACGGTGAGCACCGTATACCGGCATACGGTTTTATGCATTATTTATTTATTTCTTTTGTTAAAAATTATAATAACTTTTTCATTTGTGATCTGGTTTTTATAAAATTTATATCAATTTTTTTTTATTTTTCATGATCTTTCAAATGAGACTGATAAACCCAGAATTCTAACAATCGAACAATCTATAGCAGATAAGAAGAAGCAGATAGAAAGAAATCGACAAGATTGAAACCAAATCTGGTATACCGTATAAACCCGCCGCTACTCTCCCTGGAGAAGGAGAGCAGCGGCAACCCTAATCTCTCTATCTCTACGCCTCTGCGTCTCTAAGCCTCTATCAATCAGTTAGGGTTCCCGTAAGTTAGCCTCCTTTTATAGGAGAAGTTGGCTAACTTACGGGTTACAAGGAAGCTCCCGGGCTGATACACATTTGTGGCCCGTATTACACGTTTAATTAATAACTACACAAATACAAAGATATTTAATTAGATTGGACACCATAAAATATTCCTAACAGAGACCAATATTGCCTATGTAATTTTAACATATTATTGAACTATTATATTAACCTATGTAAAATATGTAATTTTACGTGTAGAAATATGTAACTCACGTCCAGGCAGGCCAAATGCAACGCGTGTGTATAAATATGTAACTCTACGTGTAAAAATATGTAATTTTACGTGTAAAAATATGTAACTCGCGTTCAGACAGGTCAAATACAACTCGTGTGTATAAATATGCAACTCGCGTGTATAAATATGTAACTTTACGTGTAAAAATATGCATGTAACTTTACGTGTAAAAATATGTAACTCGCGTTCAGGTAAGCCAAATGCAACTCGTGTGTATAAATATGTAACTTTACGTGTACAAATATGTAACTTTAACTATAAAAATATGTAACTCACATGTATAAATACATAATAAAATAAATTTTTTATATACACAATTTTAAGATAAATTGGGATTTATACAATTATTTTTCTGTATTAAATTTAGTTCGATTTTCCTTATAATCCAATACTCATTAATATAATAGTTCGATAATTTCTTAAAATTACATAAGCAATATTGGTCTCATTTGAAAGATCATGAAAAATAAAAAATGTTGATATAAATTTTATAAAAATCGGATCAAAAATAAAAAAGTTATTACCATTTTTTTAAAACAAAAGGAAAAAAAAAGTCCGTATACCGGTATACGGTGCTCACCGTATACCGGTCATACGGTATAATTTGCGGCTTTTAGGTAAGATAAGTCGACTAACAATTAAACGGAAAAATTTTCTTTCTCACATGTAGCGCTTTTAGGTATCAGAATATAAGCTTGCTAACAATTGAGTGAGAGAACTTGATCTCTCATAAACGGTTCATTTAAGTATAAGATAAGTCGGCTAACAATTGAGCGGAAGAACTTTCCCTCTCATATGTAGTGCTTTTAGGTATAAGAAGATAAGTTCACTAACAATTGAGCGGGGAAATTTTTCTCTCATACTTAGTACTTTTAGGTCTTACAAGATAAGCTTGCTAATAGTTGTGTGTGAAAGCATTCTCTCTCGCATGTAGTTCTTTTTAATATAAGATAAGTCGGCTAACAATTGAAAGGAAGAATTTTCTCTCTCATATGTAGTGTTTTTAGGGATAAGAATATGATAAGCCTACTAACAATTGAGCGGAAGAATTTTCTCTCCACAATTCACTCCTCTTTTTTACAAATGACACATGGCAAATCCAAGGCATTAAGGAGCAACTAATAATAAAAGCAAATGAAGGTGAGCATTTATATACTATGAAACGTGGCATCAATTTGTGGGGCCCAATGCATAAAAAAGCACAATTTTTTCAAAGTGTTATAACTTTTTCATCGTTTATCTAATTTTTATAAAAGGAGTAATCCTAAAATTGAAACTTCTCTTGACTATACTCCTCTGGTTGAGAAAGCTCTTTCTAAAGAAAAGGTAATCTACAACGAGGAGGGGTTTGACATTTGTAATGTCCCAAAAGGGGTTCCTTATTTCGAAAGTCCAATGGGTCCCACTCCCAAAACTGGAATTTTTAAGTCTGGACAGGACAAATGCATCTCTCCGTTGGTCCAAAAATATGCGGATCTTCAGAAAACCCTTGACAATGAGAGAGAGCGTTTTGAAACTGAAAAGAAAAGTTCTGAAAGCAATTGGCAAGAACTGTTAAGCAAATTTGATGAATTGAGAGAAAAATATCATTCTGTTTTAAAAACTGCTCAAACCTCTTCTGATAAAATTAAAACTTCTGAAAAATCTGCCACTCATCGCTCTTCTCCTGTTGTCACAGGACAAGAAATGAAAAGAAGAGGAGAAGAGAAGAAAGAGTGGGAGATAAAAAGAAAGGAAATAGCTGCTGGCAAGAAGAAAGTTTTTGAGAATAAACATGGTCCCAGATCCAGCTCCATTTTGTACTCTAAAACTAAGTCTAAGTTTGTCCATGTAAACTCAGCTTCTAGTAGTTCAGTCTTGAGTCCCAAGCTGAAAAACTCTGGGACATCTTTTGAACATGGCTCAATGTATAATTCTACTATTGCTTATGGTTATTCTATTCCAGACCCCCAAAATTATGAATGTGATGCGAATGTTGTTAAATCAAAGCCTTTTAGAAAGCTCAAACCTGAAAGAGAAGCCAAGAAAGAAACTTCTAAGGGAACGTTTTGTATTCCCGATATGAAATATTCTCTTAGAGTTCATTCAAGGAAACATCTTAATCGGATTTCTAAAGAGGAGAATTTCAAAACTAAACTGAAGAAACAACCGTTCAATCACAAAGCACCTGTCTACTCTCCTCCTAAACCTAAAATGGAAAGGTGGGTCCCCAAGATAAGACCCACACAAACTGAAACAGAAAGGTGGGTCCCCAAGATGAGACCTACCAAACCTGAAACTGAAAGGTGGGTCCCTAAGATGAGACCTACCGGACCTGAAACTGAAAGGTGGGTCCACAGACGAAGACCCACACAAACTGAAACAGAAAGGTGGGTCCCCAAGATGAGACCTACCAAACCTGAAACTGAAAGGTGGGTCCCTAAGATGAGACCTACCAGACCTGAAACTGAAAGGTGGGTCCACAGACGAAGACCCATCCAAACTGAAACTGAAAGGTGGGCCCCCAAATTCAGACCAACCCGAACTAAAATAGAAACTGCTAAGTGGGCTCCAGAAATCAGACCAACTGCAAAAGCAGATCTGGCTATCGGAAAGGCCACAAGAGATAGATCTTTTGTTGAAAGAGTTGCTGACCTTGGATCACAGCTCAAAGCAAAATTGAAAAGGGTGTTTTTCATTGATAAGGAAGGACCCATTCCAAGATGGGTACCTAAACCTGTTTAATTGTTTGGCAGGACGGTCATGTGTGGCACTTGGATTCTGGATGCTCAACCCACATGACCGGAATAAAGTACCTACTGAGCAACTATACCAACTGTTATGGAGGCAATGTTAGATTCGGGAACGACGCCTCATCTCCTATTCTTGGATATGGGGATGTCATCTGTGCCAGCGTCACCATCAAGGATGTTTCATTTGTCAAAGGGCTCAAACACAATCTTCTGAGCATAGGACAATTCTGTGACAGTGGGATGGAAGTGAGGTTCTTTGCCAAACAATGCTGTGTTCTAGACAGCGAAGGGAACTCATTATTAACGTGTTACAGGACCTCAACCTGTACACTATTGATCTGAAAAGCGTTCAATCCACCACTTCCATCTGTCTGCTGTCCAAAGCTTCAACAGAACAAAACAACCTCTGGCACAGACGTCTTTCCCATCTCAATTTCAAGAATTTGTCCATCCTGTCATCGAAGAAACTTGTGAAGGGGCTTCCTCCGTTGAAATCTTCCACTGGAAATCATTGTAGTGCCTGCAAAATGGGCAAAATGACGAGAAGCTCCCACAAGTCAAAGCCTGTCCCATCATCTACTCTACCGCTGCAACTGATACACATGGATCTGTGTGGACCTATGAGAGTCCAAAGCATCAACGGTCGCAAATACACACTGGTGATCGTTGATGACTTCTCTAGGTACACATGGACAAAATTTCTTCGTAAAAAGGACGAGGCAGCAGAAATCATTATGACCTTTGTCAGAACGGTCCAGAAACTGCTGCAGCAAAGTGTTCGAATCATCAGAACTGACAACGGTACCGAGTTCAAGAATCAAACTCTCACTGGATTCTATGAATCTCTCGGTATCACACAGCAATTCGCAGCAGCCAAAACCCCCCAACAGAATGGAGTGGTTGAAAGAAAGAACAGGACCCTTGTCGAAGCGGCACGCACCATGCTCATCCAGTCAAGATTGCCACACTTTATGTGGGCAGAGGCCATTAATACGGCGTGCTACACCCAAAACAGAACATCTATCCACAAACGCTTCGACAAGACCCCATATGAAATCCTCTTCAACCGAACTCCGGATATCTCATTCTTCAAGATATTTGGCTGCAAGTGCTTCGTACTGAATGACAGAACTGATAGAGGTAAGCTAGACGCAAAAGCCCAAGAAGGGGTGTTCATTGGCTACTCACAGCAGTCCAAAGCTTACAGAGTCTATCTTAGGGACAAGCGAACGGTCATTGAGAGTGTGAATGTGACATTCTATGAGATGGCTGACTTCGCAACGGAACACTTACAGGCTGACCCGTCACTTGCTGTACCAACGGACTCTGACACAGTTGAACCAAATCATGTACCTGAAGGTGTGATTCTCAATTCTCTCTTTCAGAACTTCTACGAGAATTCACAACCCTCATCCTCTCCATGTACACCAGCTTCATCGTCAAATACTCCCCAACAACCGACTCCTTTCACTGAAATTCCACTCCTTCTCGGATCAGATAATGAACCATCTACTCCGTCAACTCCCCAACCTAATCACGGAGGAGTGGATGATCACGGTTTTGCTACCACATCAGAGTCATCTCCACCGCACACCACAGCTGCTCAAGAGTCACCAATCCCCTACCAGGACTCGGATCAACCGATTATTACTCCTAATCCTCTGGCACATGAGAGGAAATGGACAAGAGCTCATCCCACTGAACAAATAATCGGTGATCCAGGTCAAGGTGTGCGTACGAGATCGGCTACTATGAATGAATGTCACTATGCATGCTTTCTAAGCCAGAATGAACCGTCCAAAATCTCAGATGCACTCGCTGATCCAGATTGGGTGATTGCCATGCAAGATGAGCTCAATCAGTTTGACAGACTAGAAGTGTGGACACTCGTGCCTAAACCCCCTTAGAAAACCATAATTGGCACCAAACGGGTGTTCAAGAACAAGAAGGACGAAGAAGGCATAGTGATACACAACAAGGCACGGCTGGTCGCTAAGGGGTACAATCAGCAAGAGGGCATAGACTATGATGAAACGTTTGCACCCGTAGCAAGAATTGAAGCAATACGCCTCTTTCTTGCGTACGCGGCCCACAAGAACTTTACCGTCTTTCAAATGGACGTCAACACTGCCTTTCTGAATGGAGTCTTGGAAGAAGAAGTCTATGTCGCTCAGCCCGAAGGATTTGTAGATCCCAGATATCCCAACCATGTGTACAAGCTGAAGAAAGCTCTGTATGGGCTGAAACAGGCACCAAGAGCTTGGTACGATGCCTTAACTGAATTTCTGGTTGACTCAGGTTTCTCAAAAGGGAAGATTGATACCACACTTTTCATCAAGCGACAGAAGTCTGACATCATCCTGATTCAGATCTATGTTGATGATATCATCTTCGCCTCCTCAAATCCACGTCTGTGCAAACATTTTGAGAAACTAATGAAAACTAAGTTTGAAATGAGCATGATGGGAGAGCTAAATTTCTTCCTAGGCCTGCAAGTAAGACAACTCTCTGACTGCATTTTCATCAATCAGCCCAAGTATATTCTGGAAATGCTTAAGAGATTCAACATCGATAGCAAATCTTCCATGACGACCCCTATGTCCCCCACAAATAAACTGGACTCAGACCCTTCTGAGAAGTCAGTCGATGCCACAAACTATAGGGCCATCATTGGATCTTTGCTATATCTCACGACTAGCAGGTCTGATATCGTCTTCTCTACATGTTTATGTGCACGCTTTCAGGCGAATCCAAAGGAGTCCCATCTGACCGATGTTCGAAGAATACTGAGATACCTCAAAGGCACTGTGAATCTAGGCCTTTGGTATCCCAAGCACTCAGGTTTTGACCTATTCGGATACTCTGACGCAGATTTTGCTGGTTGCCGGATGGACCGCAAAAGTACATCGAGAGCTGTCCAGTTCTTGGGCGATAAGTTAGTCTGCTGGTCTTCCAAGAAACAGAACTGTGTGTCAACATCTACGGCCGAGGCAGAATACGTCGCGGCTGCTAGCTGTTGTTCACAAATATTATGGATGAAGACCCAGCTAAAAGACTACGGTTACACTTTCTGCCATATCCCGATCTACAGCGACTCACAGAGTGCCATCGCCATCACCAGCAACCCGGTTCATCACTCCCGCACCAAACACATCGACCTGCGATATCATTTCATCAAAGACCACGTGGAAAAAGGGGATATTGACATGTACTTTGTAAGCTCCGAGCTTCAACTGGCTGATTTGTTTACTAAGGCACTGGATGAAAAGAGATTCCAGTTCCTGGTTTCCAAATTAGGAATGTTGAACCTCGAGCCTTTGTAATTCTGTTTCCATTGGTCTGTAAAAAGGGGTGTGCGTGTGTGGGACTTGTACAAAGTGTGCGTGTGTGTGTTTGTAAATAGTGTGTGTGAGTTGCCTTTTTGTGTATTGTGTGCGTTGCATGTGTCCAGGGGGAGAAACCCGGAGAAAATACAAAAAAAGTGTGTGTGCGTTTGCATTCATCGAGGGGGAGAAAAAGGACAAAAAGATCAAAAAATAGTGTGCGTGAGGTGCATATAGTGTGTGTGCATTGCATTCATCAAGGGGGAGAAATTTTTAAAAATCTCAAAAATTGTGCGTATGTTGCTTTCAGCGAGGGGGAGTGCTGTAATTGGTCTGAAAAGTGTTCTTAAACTCTTAAGGCTCAATGGGCTTAGCTACCCGTTCTGGCCCAAATTTTTCCCCGGCCCGTTCCAAATCAAACTCGCATATATAAACTATTTCGGTCTCCTTCTTCCTCATTCTTACGCATCTCCTCAGTTCTCGCATTTCTCAAAAACCAGAGCTTGGTTTTGGAATTCTTCTTCGCCTTCTTCCCAACTTCATTCCCTCCTAACATTTCTTCCCCAGAACACATCTCCAAGGTAGTTTTTCACTACGAAGCTCCCTCTCACCTCTGTTTTTTTCGCAAGCTACGACGCACCGTCCCAACCAAAAATCAAGTTTTTTTCCAAAATCAAATTTTCAAAACGAAAGGGGGGCTTGATTGAATGTTTATCTTTGATTTTGTATCTTTTACAGGTGGTCATCGTCTTCTTTGAGCAAAACGCGAGTTCTGAAACTCGAGTTCAACCGTCTGGTTCAAAATCTGACGTTTCGAATTCGAGCAGACCGCGAGTTTGTAAACTCGCGCTCAGGGCTCGAGATTGTAAACTCGCGCTCAGGGCTCGAGTTTGTAAACTCGCGCTCAGGGCTCGAGTTTGTAAACTCGCGCTCAGGGCTCGAGTTTGTAAACTCGCGCTCAGGGCTCGAGTTTGTAAACTCGCGCTCAGGGCTCGAGTTTGTAAACTCGCGCTCAGGGCTCGAGTTTGTAAACTCGCACTCATGGCTCGAGTTTGTAAACTCGCGCTCATGGGCTCGAGTTAGTAAACTCGCGCTCATGGGCTCGAGTTTGTAAACTCGCGCTCATGGGCTCGAGTTTGTAAACTCGTGTCCATGACCTCGAGTTTTATAACTTGGGGCCAGAACTCGTTTCCTCATCTCAGAAATCCTCAACCCCAAAGGGAAAATCATTTTTTTGCTAACATGTGCTATTCTTTCAGCTCAATATGTCAGGCACTCAACAAGATACCCCCCAGGAAGATGCACTCTACACCCAACTGTTCCCTAAATACAAGTGGGTTCGGCTACAAGACAACAACTATCAGCTCGACCTAGCCGTCTTCAGGTGCCCTGACCCAGTCATCCCTGTCATCCTTAAGGGGCACTACATCTGGCCGGCACTCAGCAAAGCTATAACGGTCCCCGAAATCTACCTGCAACAGCTATGGGGGACCATGCACATGCCCAACAAGAAGGACGCTTCTGGTATCACTGCCACGCTCCACAACAGAAGGCTGGCATTAACAGCGTCCACTCTACGCACCACACTGGAGCTGCCTGCCCACGAAACCTATGAATCGTTACCCTCAAAGGCTGAACTGATGCAAGGATTGACGCAATTGGGATATGATGCACCGCTGCCGTTTCTGTCTCACTTCAAGCTGATGAACCTGCCATACCCATGGAAGACACTGTTTGGCCTCGTCAACAAATGTCTATCTCCGAAGCACGCTGGCCATGACAAGTGCAACCTGCAGATCTTCCAAATCTTCCATGGGATCGTCTTCGCCAAAAATTATGATATGGCGCAGCTATTCTGGATTGAGCTGGTGACTCAAGTCCAGGACAAAGAGGACGGAAAGACGGGCATGACGATTCCCTACGCCAGATGGTTGGCGCTCATCATTGCTGACTACATGACCGCCCACCCAGGGATTCCCCAACGCAAAGATGAAGACAAGTTCACTGCCCCCAAGCTCCAGTACTTCAAGCGCTTCAAGCATGACACTGTGGGGATGACCATACCAGACTATCTGCTGGACTTGGGCAATCCACGACACTCCGCAGTAGTCCAATATAGAGAAAGTTTACCGAAAGATGGCCCCATGGTTCAGCCAAACCCAACTGGACCTGCCCCGGGGCCTAAGTCGAGAGCAAGTAAGGGTCCAAAGAGAGCCCGTAAGCCACAGAAACCAGTGGCACGTGTGCCCCATGAAGGGAAGTCTGACGATTCTCTCGAGAAGGATCAGACGGCTGAGGGCACACGTACAAACGCTGCGGAACCTGCCGATGAATCGTTCAGCCCGGCCCATAAAAAGGCTGACGATGAGGCATCCAATAGCGTGGCCAAAGACGATGACGATGCTGACGATGATGATGACGACGACGACATTGACGACGTGGAGCACACTTTTGCTCTGATCCAAAAGGGGAAGCTGCCACTTTATTCTCCTCCAAAGAAAGTCACCCCTGAGGATGCAGCTCCATTTATAGCTGCCCGTCCCAAGACCA